TTTGTGTCCAACGTTTTATTCTTCACTCTCCACAGGTTTCAGCTCCCAGAGTATGTTTTAGATTTTGTTTTTGTCATTCCTAGCAAAGTTATCAGTCAAACTGCAAAAATTACCAGTGAAGGATCAATATCTGTGTCTTTCCATGTCATTTGCAAACATCTTGACACAGGTAACACTATATTTTGTCCTGTGACATTTTCAGTCCTCTGTCTGCCTCCTTCTGTTTTTTAATACTTTGATATTTTCCACATGATCTGATTTATATATTAGAAGTGATTTGTCCTATGGAATTGAGTTCAATCCAGTTTTATTTACATAGCGTCAAATGACAACAACGGTCACTTCAAGGCGCTTTATATTGTAAGGTAAAGACCCAATCAGACAACCCCCTGTGAGCAAGCACTTGGCGATAATGGGAAGGAAAAAACTCCCTTTTAACAGGAAGAAACCTCTGGCAGAACCAGGCTCAGGGAGGGACAGACAACTGACATGATCCTGGGCAGGGGAGGGAGACAGGACAAAAGACACACTGTGGAGGAGAGCCAGAGATTACTAACTAATAATTAAATGAATCTATGAAGCCAAATGTATATAAAAATACACAAAAAACAGAAAGTAGGCAGTCCTGTGTGGAAATAGAAAGTATTACATTAGACTTTCAAAAAATAAAAGTAAAAATGTTTAGATATTACAGTTAGAAGTGTTAATGTCAAAGAAAAACAAACCAATAGTAGACAAGTTTACAGATGAAACAAAGCTTAAATAATTTGTTGGCATTTCCACCATTCAACAGCTGTAAAATTATTAGAGCTGATGAAAGCAAACAAAACTGATATCAAATGATTTATGACTCTTACTGGTTCATCACAGGTTTCACAACCAATTTTAAAAGCGTGAAGAATCTGCCTTGTGGTGAGACACAGATTTTCACAGTTTATTTAGACCCTCAAGGAGCCAAGCTGAGTGTCCTCCCAATCCAGGTATCCACAAGAATAGACAAGCTTGTCTAGAAATACATTTATTGTGTCTTTTCATTCAGTGTCTATAAACAGTTTTGGGTCTGTGTTATTAATCTCATCTTTGCCAATACAGGTTGCAGATGGCCCAGTGGTACAGATACGACTGTAAGCCATGGCAACCATGCCAGATGTCACTGTTTCCAGCGATACAGTTCAGTTTGACACTGCAGTGTGGCATGTGTCAGAGTACAAAGGGCGATAAAAAGGGGCAATGGTATAATATGCTCTAGCTTCTGCTAGAGGTTTCTCCCTGTTAAAGGGAGGTTTTCCTTCCCACTGTCCCCAACGTGCTTGCTCATAGGGGGTCGTATGATTGTTGGATTTTTTTCTATGTATGTATTATTGTAAGGTCTACCTTACAATATAAAGTTCCTTTAGGCAACTGTTGTTGTGATTTGATGCTGTATAAATAAAACTAAATTGCATTGAATTGAACTGAAAAATGGAATTGAGTATACTGGGTCACCGTGGTGCTATCGTGTTGTTAACTGTAAAATCAAGTGAATACGTGAATTTTTTCTATGTACTTCTTATCAGACCTGTACATTTGATATTTGAGAAAATCTCTTTAATTGACAGCCAGATGTAGCTTGTATTAATTTGCTGTCATAAGCTATCATGAGTGTTGGTGCAAAAGGAAAGATTCCTTTTGTAACCCATCAGATGAGAACAATACAGCTACTGAACCATGAGGCTGTGCCTTGCCAATTGGAGCATAGCTGAGAAGTTTCAGGCTTTTAAAAAGGCATGACTTTAGCTTGTTTATGGATAAAATAAAAACTTAATCCACATTCCACACGGTAAGAAAAATAGGGAAGTATAAGTGAACAATAAAATATGTGCACGGCATTATAATCGAATGCAGCATTGTGGAAATAAGTTATTTTAATATCAGGGAAAAGTAGAGTACTGTGAGTAGTAACATGTGGGTGATATATAGCAAAATAAAGACGGGGATGCTGACCTTCATGTACATCTCTTTCAGTGTACATACAAAAGACAGGTAGTGGTGCGTATGGCTGAGAGCACCCAGCATGTGTTCATCACAGGTCAGGTTCAGAGTGAGGCTCCACATCTCGAGTTCTGGCCATCGGTGCTGGAGCTCAGACCTTGCCTCCCTGCCAGCACTGAGGATGAACCTGAGGTTACCGCCAGAAACCCCTGTTCTTTCCCCACTGAGTTTTACTCCCTGGAGTTCACACACACAGTACCTCCAGGAAGAAGAGGTAAGTCTTCAGTTTCAGAAATAGTCTTGCAAGTTTACCTTACAATGTATCGTATATTTTTTAAAAGGCAAGGCCCCAAGTGAGGTAGTAATATCAAATACATATATTTGTAATGAGTATGTGGTGTCCTTTTATTGATAAATTACTGCTTGCTTAAAAAGAGAGGGAGGGAGACAGGCATTGTTTTCTTCGGTCAATCAGTTAATCCCTCACGGCTTTTCCAAATTGAATCATTTATTGTTATGCTGCAGTGTCTTTAATTAGAATGCATGACATTGCAGTGTTTACTAATATCCCTTTACAGTTTGTCAGGACTTCTAGCGTTTAACTCAGTGTTACCAGTTAGAGGTGGATTGTAAATGACATTACATAGTCACATAATGTTGTTTTTTTTAAAATGCATCTCAGCTGGTTTTCTGCATTCAGTTTTCCTGTATATGTTCACTTTACTTGATTAATATTTAAATAAAGTATTTCTCATTTCATGCAGATCCTGCATTTGATGCATAAGTACAACCTTTTACATCTATGTAAGTTCTCATCCATCCAGGTCACCATAGCCTGGAGTAAGATGTTTGACCTTTGAATCTAAACGCTGATGCGTAAATCTGGTATTTAACCCATAAGGGAAATGTTACCTTGGATGTGGTTCTGAGTCCAACTATTAGCCGCCTACAATGCAGTCTACACCTATACATTACACCTACAGCTATTAAA